GCACTTTTGAAGACAGTAAGACTCTTGGGCCTCAACTGATTGGGTGTGGTCGTAGAATTTAATTTCAAAGTTAGTGGTCTTAACAAAGACCAGATTACCTCCAGATGGTCCACATCTGTTTTGACCTAAAATATACAATTTTCAAATTAACTAACGAAACTGAGCAAAATTAAGTTGTAGAAGAGTAATAACGCACGAGTAAGGCAGTTGTTATCGTAGTAGTCAATAGCTCCTTCAGCCATGCGAAGATGTGTAGGCTTAGATCTAAAAAGCACAGCAATTATCATAAGAATGGTATCCATATTCTAATTCCTCTGTGAAAATTTTTTTGGGTTACCTTCTATCTTCTGTGCTCAACTCGCAGAGGTAGGAGTCGTAGTTGTAATTAACTGACTTGCACACAAATTCTTTCTCCTTAAGGCAAGCTGATAGGCATTGTTCTCGGTTGGCCACCTGGAGGAGAATAAGTTACGAGCCAGCACAAAAGTGTTTCAAATTTGATGTACTAGCAAACTCGGCTAACATTTAGGAGGTCAATTTGAAAATTTAGAGAAGAACAAATCGATAAAACAGGCTTTTCAGCCATATTTTCACACACTTTACAGAAGAGATTGGATAATTTGCCTTTTTCAAAAATGTTCACAATATACTTCTGCAAAGTTTCATAAGTCTTGCTTATCAACTACTTTTTTAAATGTTCGTATTAAATTTATCTTAATTTCCCCGAAGTTTCAAATCCACCATAAAAAATGCAAAACTTTTTTTCATGATGTCGGAAAGTTTCGCGAAATCGTATGTGTGACACATTGACCTCAATTTCTATTGAATATCGTTTTCGTCAAGGATCTCGTCATTTTCAGTGCGAAGCCACATTCTTGGATTGATATAGTACACGAACGTTATGAAACGAGGAGGGATTGCTGAGAAAAGAAAAAAATCTAGATTTCTAATAAGTTAATGAATAAAAAAGATCGCAAAAAATATCAGTCCAGTTACTGTTTGTGTAACGTAAATATTGATCTATTTTGAGGGCATTAGATGAAATTATCAATAGAAATACTCTCTATTCGAAAAAAAGCAGCTAAACTCAGAAATTATGTGTTTTTTTCAGTTTATTCAAATGCATTACCTTGTTATCATTATTCAATTTCACCAAAAACTCTTACATATTATTTAGAATTCTGTTAATAACTTTATATATTATTCAAAATTCTGTTAATAACTCTTTTCCGTATCATTTTTCAAACCGACGCTAAAATATGGTTACCTGAACACTCTTTCTAACGAATCCCTCTAGCACAGTTTTGCGCATTCTTTCAAAAGAGAAAGAACGATAAGTGCAAGCCTCATGTGCCGACACGCCAGGCAAGCAAGTCTTCTCATAGTAGAAGTTATTAGCTGACGGATTTGCTGTTAGCTGGCTAGTACCTAAAAGAAAGTCATTGATAAGATAACTTTCTATGCTACTGTTAACTCATCAAGCCAAGTGCAAAGTTACTATAACCAGACTTACCCGCAGGTGATGCAGCGTCATCGAAGAAATAGCACGTTTCTCTTCCATCAAAGTTGAATGA